GCCCGGCCCGGCCCGGTCCGGCCCGGCCCCCTGTGAGAGCGTCGGGCTCCGCGCCAGGCCCTTGTGTGCGGATCGTCCCTCGGAGCCGGCTCCGGCCACCCGCCGGGTTTTGTTTGTGATGGGGGACAGCCCGTTTCAGGCACGGCTGTTTTATTTCTGCCTTTCCCCGTGCCGCTTCGCTGTCGGGCTTTGCCTTTGTTCAGGCCCCGTAGTTTATGGGAAGCCACCGGGTGTAAATTTCATGAAAACCTGTAAATTTCTGGGATTTTAACTTATTCTCAAAGGCCGATACTGTACAATAGGGATAACAGTGATACTTGCGCTGTGTAATGATTGACCTAAACCATGCCTGAAGTAGCGTTGTGTGTTTTAAATGCTGTCGGGCAACCGGGCAGGATGAAAGGGTTGGGATGGATGTAGGACAGAGGGGAGAGCTAAATTACCTGATCTCCTCTAAAAAAATGAGCCTACACTGAGTGGCTGTGCTTTCCAGTTGCAAAGCTGCTTATGGTTTATGCCCTTAAGTCAGGGCACTCCATCCAGATAGATTTTTTTTTTTTTTTTTGGGGGGGGGTACTCTGCTAGGTACAGAGGACGTTGGCAAAGGCATCGCTATAGTCTAAAATGGGTTATAGCGATGGAAGGCTGTGCTTATTAAAATAATCAAACCAGAGCCCTGAGGATGAGTTGATAATAGCTTGCAGCCAGGTTGCATTCCCAACAGCAGCTTACTGTCACTTAGAAGCTCTCAAGAATTAGAACAGTTCCTGTACGCTAGGAATTGAGAAGAAAACTTAGTTTGTGGGGGAAGGAGAAGGACATGCGCCTAATCAAACTGAAAATGTCCTCCTTATCCCAGGAAGGCAGGGGAACAGCCGATCAGAGCATTCTGGAGGGGGCTTTGTTTAGGAGGAGGCAGCATATGGTTAATGTGACTTCTGTTAAGATTAAACTTGATCAGTGACTGGCAGGTCACAGCTCTGTCTTCAGCTTGTGTCTCTCAGGCTGATGAATGTTGGAAATCATACTAATACCTTATTCCCTATTGAAAACTAGACACCAGAAACTTCCCGTATTCTTGTGGGATTTAATTCCTGGTAGTAATTGGAGAGTTAATTGCTTGTGTGTATATTGGTGTGTATATACACCAATTGGTGTGCCTTTGGAAGGCAGTGAATAGTGCAGCTAGTGCTTTTTGTTGTGAGTAATGCAGTGGTTTGTATTACCCCACACTGACCACAGATCTGATCGTGGTCACTTGTCTTCTGCTGCCTATCGGCCTGATCCAACAATCTTTCTCCCTCAGGTGGTCTCTTTACCTTATGGTTTCAGTTAAATTAAGCCTGTCAGTCATAATCCCATTTCTTGTAGATGCTGTGAATTGGCAGAAGTGACTTTATCTGCTTGACTGGTTGGCTTTTACTATGAGGCTTTCTGTGCAGCCAGCTGTCCTGGACAACTCCTCAGTAAGCAAGTGCCATGTGTTTCTCCAAGCATAGCCTGCAGAAAGGTGGCCTTTTGTGTGGACAGTTAACTACTGGACTGTCACGAACAACTTCTTGGACAGTAGTAGCTTCTTCATTGGCAACAAAAGCGGGGGAACAATGCCTGAAAGTTATAAGTGCTTCTGAAGCCAAAAGTACAAATTTTCATATCTGGAGTTACTACCTTGTAGCTGACTTTCAAATAACATGAACATTTTTTTAAGCAACAGAAGTAACTTGAAAATTGCCTCTTAGGACTGTCTTGGACTAATTTTGTAGGGGTGCAGCTATCCCTCTTCTTGTTGCCAGTTCCTGGAAAGTAAATTGGTATGTTGCATAATGAGGATTGTGTACTCCTGGTGGAGCCAAGACCATCTCGGTTTCTTCATGTGCTTGTCAGTGCAGATGGTAAATGCGTGTTCTTCCTGCAGATAAAATCTGAGCTCTCTGATAGATCCTAAAACTGCCTCTGTAGCCGAGATTTGGAAACATCCAGAGCAATTTTCTAGTGTTTACAACATTGAAATAATTTTTCTGCCGTGTTACACAGGCCTGTAGAGTCTTGTCCTGTAGTGACTTGTAACATTGTGTTTTGATATTATACCACAATTGGGATTTGTTTAATAATCACTCAAAAGTTGCTCTTAGTGTTTTTATTTTAAAAAGAAATAAACCCCCTTGACATTCCACATCAATGTCACTCTGTTAACAGACGCCTGTTCACATAATACATGCAGGACCTTAAGAGTTTGGCAGGGAACTTTTGATTTGGCACTGGAGGTCTCTTGAAACAGAGTTTAAAGTATTTAAAAACTTCTGAAAAGTGTTTTCCTTCTAGGTGCAGTTTTATGGTTAACTTTGTTTGAAAGATGAAATGGGCATTCCAAGCTCTTCCAAATCTGTTTGTGAAACAAAAACAAAGTTGGCAACAAAACTTACTACCTTTGAAACCTTGCAGAATGATATCATCATAAGAGAGAGAGAGTCCATTTGTTAAATTCAAATAGCTTTCATAAATTTATATTATGTTTATTAAGGCAATACTGAAATTTAAAGAACAGACTGCTTTAAATGTTTGGATTTCATGTATTATTGGTTGATATAATTTTCCACCCTGATACAGCTCCAGAGAAGTGATGAAAAAAAAGAGCTAATACAGTAAAAAAAGACACTATGATCTATTATAAGAAAAATATATAAAGCTGTTTGTACGTATACTATCTGCCCGTGTGTGTAATAGATGAATCTGGCCCTCAGGAGAAGTAATAGAGGGTCACTGAAAGACAAGACAACAATTACTTTAAATTAATGATCTCTGTTTGTTGAGTTGGATGTGCTGTGCATGATTATGTGGTAGGTGGCCCAAGGGACGGTCAGAGGGATCTGGGTTATCTGCAGATGTGCAGAACAGCTCTTCTGAATGTGCTGCAAGGCTGCTGAATTTTAGTACAGACTTCCCTGCTCATGCTGAGAGTCGTAGAAGTATTTTTATCATCAGAATCTTTTCCTCTGCTGGTTTGTTAAGCTGACCTGGACTTTTGGATAGGTGCAGTAGATCATCAGCTTCCTTAAGGTGCAGCACCTTAAAGGGTGGTTCAGTTACA